TCATAGCAAGCTTTATATGCGGCAAATCATAGGATGTAACAATGAACAAAGGACGCATGCTTTAATTCACAGAAGGGTGTTATATTTGCGTAGCAACATTACCATTCTACTTTTTACTGGCTTCATTATCTTCTGTATTTACTTCTATGTGATTGCCACTTCAAGCTATAAACCAATATTACTGCAGGAAAAGCTTCTATATCACATCACACCCAACATACTAATAAATGTTGAGCAAAACCACATCACTTCATACCATTGGGGTCCAGTTCTTTGGAGCTCCATAATCTAATTCTACTACAGCCTATTTGGTTCAATTCTCATCCAATTCATGTCTTCCATTAATTTCCATACTTGAACTCCCACTAGTTCATCCTTGATTCCTTTTATGACCTTTTTCCTTCTTTCTCATCCTATTTGTTATTACTATTTCCTAGTTAATTTCAACATCAGTCTTGAAATGGATAATTACAATATACCTTTTTTTTTTAATGTTTAAGCTTTCCTACTCCCTACTTGAATTTGGGATGATACATCTCCCACTTTGACAAGAGATAAGAAGTAAAATTCGATAGTACCTTCAAGGTTTAACGTTAAAAGATATTTGTAACCGTAAGCATCAAGATACTATCAAAAACTAATACTAGAACAACTAAATTTACTACCTTGATATGTAGAAGTTAATCAAAATTTACAAATCTGATGCACATTTTCATTCATATCTTTGGTTTCAAGTCCATAAATTTGCATTTCCACGAGTTATGTAATGAATCATGAAAATAACTAACTCTGAATTGAATATTAAATGAATTTAAAACTAAAAGAATACTTTCATTCAAATTTCTGTACTATTGTATTATATTATCATCTCTATTCCATAGAAGTATAATGTCAACCAAATTCAATATAAAAGTAAATTCAGATATGAAATTCACGATTCAATTCTACCTGTTAAAATTAGTCAAAAGTATTTAAGATGATGGAATGTAAGACATTGAATCCAAAAAAGAAAAAAAGAAAAGAAAAATACAGATATACTGGAATAAAATCACAAACCTTCATCAACACCTTCCCCTTCCTCTTCCTCTCCATCATCCTCCTGCTCATCATCATCCTCGCTTTCCTCATTACCCACCCCATACCTCGCATTCAAAAAATCCACAGAATCCGGAGTCAACACCAGCCTATCAGAATCCAAGACGTCAAACAAATTCAAAGTCCTCGGAGTCAACATCCTCAATGTTCCTATATTCCTGCTTGACAATATCACATTCTCTGCCACATCCATCATAAAAAACATAGCTTTCTCCTTCGGGTCCAATCCCCACCTCTTCATCGCCGCAATAAACTCCGTCGTCTTCGTTTTTCAAACTTGTCCCCGAAATCTCCACAACAACGGTGCTCTGGACGCACTGGATAATGCGTGATATTGCCAGTCGCTTCTCCTTCTTGTTGATTTAATGACCAATCCCGCGGCTT